TGCCTGCAAGACATGTCCATGACCTGCTGCTGCAGGGTCCCGTCTTCCATCCTACTGCTCCCGAGGGGATGAGCCGCCAGCTTCAGCAGTTCAGACTGCAGCGGGGGACAGGCAGACACATCCCGGACCCGCCCAGACCAAGGGAGCCCCCAGAAGAGATGGGAACTCCACTGGCACTGAGGGAGCTCCCAACAGCAGCTGACAGAGACGATCCCACGGCTGTGCTCTGAGGGAAAGAGTTGAGGATGGGGCCCGGCAGGGTCACCACCACCGGCGAGGGCTCGATGAACACCGTCGAGTCAGCGCAGCGGGCAACACAGGGCTCACTGCAGCTGCTTGCAAGTGGGGTTGGGCCAGAGGCACAGCAGGGCCGTGGGGACAGGGTCTGAAGCAAGACATCTCTCTGTGAAGGAAGCAAAGCTGCAACACAGAGCAGGAAGGAAACACAGACCAAAACATCAACTTGGCTCTCATGTCCACAGCTCTCTCTGCAGATACACTTTGCTGCTCTCCACCTCCATTTCCAGCTGCAGGTGCAGGAAATGCCTGCACCTGATCTCTCTAACACACACAACGTGCATGACGTATTCCCCTAAGTTGGATTTGAAACACTGGGAGCAAAGATGTGCCTAACTGGCTGCTGATTGCACCAGGACCTCCTACTGCATTTCCCAGTACAATAGCACAGATGAAGATTGATGCAAGTATCCCAGCACAAATGGGCTGCGTTGAATGGGTGTCTCAGAAATCACCTCTTAAACACACATAGTCTTCTTACAGCTCGTAATGCACTCCTCTGAGTAGCACAGTGCAGGAACATTGACCCACTTTGCGATAGGACCAAGCCCAGTGGGTTTAAAGCACCTGATCATACCCCGTCTCCAGAACAACTGTTGTTGCATTGATGAAGCACTTGGCCATTTGGTTAGAGAGCATCTGCTGCAGGCATAAGTTCTGGTGAGGCAGACACCACTAAAGCTGAGCCCCATTGATACCCTTCTGCTTGAAAGAACACCCTCTTCCCATTTCTCCGCATCCACTTCGAGCAAAAGGGACAGAGGCGACAGCCCTTCAACCATTCAAGCTGCGGCAGAGAAATACCAACGTGAGACGCCACCATGGCAGCAATTCTGCCTACAGAGAGAGACACGAAGCAGACCCAGACTTACCTCGTTCCTTCAGGAAAGGGAAGCAAGAGAGGAGGATGCAGAGCCTGAAGCAGCGCAGGCTTTTATGCTGTGTCCCAGAGCCCTGTGGGGCCACAAACATTCCTTGCTCATGAGGCATGTAAACACATAGCAGCTGCCACTTGGGAAGACCTTGCTGGTGATTAAACCTTTAGCTCTTTCATCTGAAATTCTTTTCTCTGACTTTGATTCCAACTAGCATCAAAGAGCGCGTTATGGAACACTTTGGGCTGGAAGGGACCTTTCAGAACATGTAATTCTGACTCTCCTACCATGGGCAGGGACACCTTCCACTGGACCAGGTTACTCAAAGCTTCATCTAATTTGGCATTAATCACTTCCAGGGAGGGGGCATCCACAACTGCGCTGGACATCCTGTTTCAGTGTCTCACCATTTCACTCATTGACGAGGTACAGGTTCTTTCCTCTTCCTTTGTTCTATGTACCTGAAGAAACTCTTCTTGTTACTTTTCATACCCCTAGCCAAGTTCAGCTCCAGAAATTCCTTGGACTTCCCGATATCCTCCTTGCACTTCAAGGCCATTTGCCTATAATCTCCCCACAATGTCTATCCCTGCCTCTGCTGCCTATTCCTTTTGGTTTTGTGTTTTATTTTTCTGAGAGGTCTTGATGTTACCAAGTGGCCTCCTGCCTTCCCTGCCCGACAACTTGCATGTCGGGATTGAGAGCTCTTGCTCCCTCAGAAAAATGTCTTTCATTATCTCCCAGCTCTGGTTTGCTCCTATACCTCTGAGGGTAGTTTCCCAAGGGATCCCATGCACTAGTGTCCTAAACGGGCAACCGCTTGCCTTTCTGAGGTTTAGGTTCCTGACTCTACTTATTACCTGTCCTGCACTCCTCAAAACTGAGAAATCCACCAGGGCGTGACTGCTGCAGCCCAGGCTACCTCCAATCTTGACCTCTCTGATTGCTCTTGCACTCTAGTAAACAACACGTCCACCAGTGCCTCTCCTCTGGTCAGGCTCTGCGTCACATGTACTTGGACGTTGTCCTCAACACACTCCAGTAGTTCCCTGGGTTGCTTGTAGTTCGCTGTGCCGCTTCGCCAGCAGATGTCCTGGAGGTTGAGTTCTCCTATCAGATCAGGGCCTGGTGAGTGTGAAGTTTCCTAATATTGAAATGATCCATCTGAATCTCTGTATCCCAGATTCATAAGGGCAATCAACTCCAAGGTCTCGGGGAAGCCTGGAGGAAGATTTTAGGTGAGTTGTGTCATACGGATTGCCTTTGTCACTTTGCCCTCTTCATGGTGAGCTTGTCCACCAATCATGCTGAAAATCAGCTACGAAGATGGACACCTCGAGTTATCTCTGAAGTGTTTTCAGTGCTGGCACTCAAGCGAACCCTAAGAGACATCTGCCCAAGCGTCATAGTAGACACACAGTAGAGACTTGAGAAGTTGAGGTGGAAGATCAAGACTACCCAATCCTATACAAGAGAAGAGACTCACCACCTCAGGGATATGGAAAAGCTCAATGACAAGAATGGATCATTGTGGGCTGGAGCAAAGCCCATTGCATGTAGGATTGAGGGCCATGAGGATCTTCCTCACGCTCAAACAGCTCTGCCACAGCCTGTTTTTTATGACCACATGTCCAGGGAATGAAGGCACATTTGTAACAACAGGGAGCAGACCAGAGGATCAGGCAGGTCTCTTTCAGGTAATGTCTCCATGGGATCTCCATCGCCATATCCCTTGATTAACTTAACATTAAGCTTGGTCTGCTCAGAGCAGGAGGTTGTCCCAGAGCCATTCCAGAAGAACCATCCATCCCACATCATTCTGGGCTGCACTCACTCTCGTGGGTCCCTGAGCAGCCACTGGCAGGCAATGCCTTAGAAGGCAGAAGCTGCACGAGTTTGCACAGAAGCACCAGTTGATTCAGGAATGGTGCTAAAATGTGCTTTTCCTTACAGAAAGCCGCAAATTGGGACTATGAGGTCTGGTATCACTGGCACAACTGAGGCTGGGCGACCGTGTCCACTGACGTCCACAGCAGGGTGAGTCCGCTGGCCAGCAGCTCTGGGTTTTTCCCAACTCTTCCACATCATGAAGACTCCCAGGTGCTCTGAGACAGATCCGATGTGTCTTTGTAGCGTGAAATGCATGGCATTGGCCACCCCCTCTCTGAATCAGGAAAAAGGGCCATGAGGTTTTCATTCCCTGCCGTTCACCTCTCCTCCTAATCAGGCAAGCCACACCTCCATCCTCTGGGATGACCTTACAGAGCCAAACGGGTCAATTTGGGTGTGGGTCTCCTTCAGGGAAGGATGCGGGCAAGTTTTGATCACAAAACCAGTCTGTGGTAGAGCCTGATGAGCGTAAACAAGGTCCCTGTGGCCATCATCACCCTGCCCACAGGGGGCTTCCCTCCACCTCACAGTGGTCTTTCCTTTCCATTGAGCTTTGCCACGTCCCTGGAGTCGTGCGTCTCTCCTCCCATATGGGATTGTGCAGTCTTGAACTTCTGCCTGAAATTACCCATTGCGTCCTGTGTGTCTACGATCACCCAAGAAGAGAATTGTCCCTCTGGTTTTAGACTGAGTGCCTGCAAAGAAAACATTTGAGAGAAGACTTGAGGTGCCCTGTATGGTTGAATTTCACCATGACACGTGGACAAGTTAACAATGAAGAGGGCAATGAGACCAAAGGGATTTGTATGAGGCAAATCAACTAAAAATATCTGTCTGTCCTGCGTAAGAACTCGGAGTTAATTGACTTTATAAACCTGGGATACAGATGAATGATTTTGATGTACGATGGTATGAAAAGGAGGACAATATGTGGGTTGTAAGAAGCGAGGGCTTAATCACCAGGGAAGCCTTGGGAAGCGGAAACTCCTAGGTGTTCAGATGCTTCATGAGCAAGGAATGTTCGTGGCCCCACAGGGCTCTGGGACACAGCATAAAAGCCTGCGCTGCTCCAGGACCTGCATCCTCCTCTCTTGCTTCCCTTTCCTCGAGGAACGAGGTAAGTCTGGGTCTACTCCATGTCTCTCTCTGTACGCAGAATTGATGCTATGGTGGCATCTCAGGTTTATATTTCTGTGGCCTCAGCTTGGCCCTGCAATTGAACTGTTGAAGGGCTGTCACCTCTGTCCCTTTTAATGGATGTGACTGCGGAGAGCTGGGTAGAGGGTGTTCTTTCAAGCAGAAGGGTATCAATGGGGCTCAGCTTTAGTGGTGTCTGCCTCACCAGAACTTATGCCTGCAGCAGATGCTCTCTAACCAAATGGCCAAGTGCTTCATCAATGCAACAACAGTTGTTCTGGAGACGGGGTATGATCAGGTGCTTTAAACCCACTGGGCTTGGTCCTATCGCAAAGTGGGTCAATGTTCCTGCACTGTGCTACTCAGAGGAGTGCATTACGAGCTGTAAGAAGACTATGTGTGTTTAAGAGGTGATTTCTGAGACACCCATTCAACGCAGCCCATTTGTGCTGGGATACTTGCATCAATCTTCATCTGTGCTATTGCACTGGGAAATGCAGTAGGAGGTCCTGGTGCAATCAGCAGCCAGTTAGGCACATCTTTGCTCCCAGTGCTTCAAATCCAACTTAGGGGAATACGTCACGCACGTTGTGTGTTAGAAAGATCAGGTGCAGGCATTTCCTGCACCTGCAGCTAGAAATGGAGATGGAGAGCAGCCAAGTGTATCTTCAGAGAGCTGTGGACATGAGAGCCAAGTTGATGTTTTGGTCTGTGTTTCCTTCCTGCTCTGTGTTGCAGCTTTGCTTCCTTCACAGAGAGATGTCTTGCTTCAGACCCTGTCCCCCACGGCCCTGCTGTGCCTCTGGCCCAACCCCACTTGCAAGCAGCTGCAGTGAGCCCTGTGTTGCCCGCTGCGCTGACTCGACGGTGTTCATCGAGCCCTCGCCGGTGGTGGTGACCCTGCCGGGCCCCATCCTCAACTCTTTCCCTCAGAGCACGGCCGTGGGATCGTCTCTGTCAGCTGCTGTTGGGAGCTCCCTCAGTGCCAGTGGAGTTCCCATCTCTTCTGGGGGCTCCCTTGGTCTGGGCGGGTCCGGGATGTGTCTGCCTGTCCCCCGCTGCAGTCTGAACTGCTGAAGCTGGCGAATCATCCCTTCGGGAGCAGGACGGAAGATAGGACCCTGCAGCAGCAGGTCATGGACATGTCTTGCAGACAGGCTTGGTGTCCTCATGCCACCTGGCAGGAGGGACCTGTGCCCACTTCTCCTCGCTGCACAGCTGGTGTGGCCGTGTCT